TTAAATTACAAAAATATTTGTGGCATCATAAACTTTCTGATTACGATTTCAGAAAGCAGCTATATTATGTAGTCAGCCATAAAAAGTTGGAAGTAATTGTTTTTAAAATAAATACATTATCCCAATTCTTGCAACAGTCACATATTCGAAGATCATAAGAGGTTTAAGGTGTATGAGCCCCTTTAAAATGTTGCCTATTGTTAAAAGTATGCATTCTAGTTACCATATTTACAAGAGCTTCCTGGTCTTTTCATTGATCTTCCTTGACATATCTGTGTTTTATTTATTTATTTATTAAAAAATATATTCTTTACGCATTTGGATTTCTTATCATACCCCATTCGGAAGCAAATATTTTTAGCTCCAGAGGTGATATTAGTCTCTAAGCTCACATTTTGTCTGAATCGCTTTTCAAATTCTTGCCACCAAATGTTATTGTCATGCATTATTTAAAAATATCTGATATGGACATTACTGCCTATTAAAATATATGCATTTTTGTTACATTTCGCATAAACTTATTTCCTCGAATTCCTTTACAGATATCCTTCTCATTCAATCAATTCAGTTATCATTTCGAGGTAAGACAAAAATACATAAAAGCTCAAAACATCTCCAATAAAAATTGTAAAATAGAGAATAACCTAAAACACCAAATACAGTTAAAAAGAGTAAAAAAAAAAAAAAAAACAATTTTTACAATGAAAATTAGAGTTCCTACGCCAAAACAAGCAATTCGGCCAACGGGTACGAAGACCAAATTTTTGGTGCACAAAATTGACAGTTACCTTTTTGCTCCACTGTGCAAAAAGACGATGCAGTTGGTGCACCAACTAACATAATTCATTGTTCTACTAAGAGTTTCAAATACAAACAAATGGCTGTCTCATTAGGCCTAGCGCAACTTAAACAACTTTTAAATTGTTGATAATTCTACAGTTATTGTACGCGGATTAAGCAAAGAAATAAAACCTTAACCGGAACATAGAGCAACATAATTCACGCCCTTTATAGCAAAAAAAAAAAAAAAAAAAAAAAAAAAAAAAATGCCCAATTTACAAACATATCACAATAAAAATACTCATATCACCAAACCGAGAAGCAGGGTGGGAATATATATATATGTATGTTTTGTGCCGCCGATAGCAACGAAAAAAGGAGGTGCAGAATTAGATACTCATGTACAGACGCCACGGAAAAAAATCTCTTTTGCAAAAGTCACGCAAAAAAAATTCATTCAAATGATTCGAGAGAATTCAAAATGGCTATTTTCTTTGAAATATGATACCCCAAATTTTTCGAGATTACAATACTTCCTTTAATTCGTACAAGGAAATAAAATATCTGATGGAAACACTTCATGACTTCTTATTACGGTCTATTAAATTATACACATTTTTCCCTGCATTTCATGTAAACTTAATTTCCTTGAATTTCATTAGATGTATAATTCTCCTTCAATCGATTCAGTTTTCACTTTGCAAGAAGGCAAAAATACATAAAAACTCAAAACACCTTTATTAAAAAATGTAAAATGCAGACCTAAAGCACCCAAACACAGTTCCCCCCCCCAAAAAAAAATTCCAAAGAGTTTCTACGGCAATCAATTCAGTTATCTAATTTTCGGCGCATAAAATTAAAAGTTACCTTTCGGTCCCCCTGAGCAAAAAGACACTGCAATTGGTTCACCAACGGATTTAATTCACTATTCTGCTAAGAGTTTGAAATGTAAATCAATGGTGGACTCGTTAGGCTTAGTATCACTTAAACAACATTCAAATTGTTGCTAATTTTCAACTATTGCATGCAGATTAACTAAAGGCATAAAAACCTTAACTGAATCATAAAACAACATAAAATCCAAACACTTTTAAAAATAAAAAATGCACAATTTATCAACATATAAGAATAAAAACTTAGGTCACAAAATTGGGTAATAGAGTGAGAAACGTATACATTTATATACGTTTGATGAGGTTGTTTGCAGCCGAAAAGGGAGGTGCACAACTGCATGTTATAGCAGTTCTGTATATAAAATTTCAACGTTCTGAGGCTTCTCGTTTTTTGAGTTATACAAGATACATGCATACGTACGTATAAATGTCACTAAAAATTCCCTTTTGAATCCATTTAGAATCTGTTTAGGGAAAAAGAGTCCTTTATTCTGTCCTTATGTACAGATGCCAAGCAAAAACATCGTTAAATTGCATTCGAGAGCTGTCAAAATGAATATTTTTGTTGAAATATAATACCCGAAATTTTTCGCGAGGGCAATCCTTCCTTTACTTCGTACAAGGAAATAAAAAGATTACATAATGAAGAATCTGTACGCAAATATATGCTCCTTGCACTATGGAAAAATGGCGGCATCTAAGAGCCAGCAAATTTTGAACACATGTAGCCCTCCACCAGAACATGTGCACCTGAAAGTCCGAATTTTGAATTTCGAATTTGTTTTTTGATATTTTTCGTATTTTGTACAAATTTAATGAATTTTTGATTGGCAAACTCATTGATTACAAAGCGAGAAATGGCAAGACTGCCTGAAACGAAACATTTTTATCTCCAGCGCTCCAGACTCTTGCCATTCGGAAAAATATGAGGCATTTAAAGAATATTAGAGCAATAACCAGCTCATTTCCATAACTGCGCAACTAAATTGCTGCCAGGTCAAGAGTTTTCAAGGTTTTTACCATGTGGCGCAACAGCAGTCAAATTTACTTTGTGGCGTACAATATCTGGACAAATGCTAGTTCCACATCCAAATTCGTTTTGGCTATTTATATGGGACAGTCTCGAAAATCCCAGTTAAAGTTCAAGCTGTACGCCCTGTGTCTGGTTTTTGCAAAGCAGGCGTAAACTTCCGCTAATTGCAAAAGAATTCAAGTCTTATGATGTCGTTGTCCTCCAAAAGCCAAAACCCGAGCTTCGCAAAGCCAACTCATATTCTAACCACTATCCAACGTTTCTCCTGCGAGATACCACTACGAGCTGACTCAACTTTTGAGGATCTACTTCGCATCGTTGATGCTACGATAATAAAAGTGTCTCTTATCTCTTCTCCATCTTCATCTTCATCTCCTTCTTCATCTTCATCTCATCTTCTCATCTTCATCTCCTTCTTCATCTTCATCTCATCTTCATCTCCTTCTTCATCTTCTCCATCAACTAAGGAACTTTAAAGCAGTCGTGAAATACGTTTCAGATATGTGAAAAGTGCGTTTTTATAAATAACGTTATAAGGTATTTCTCCCACCTTCCTAACGTACCTTCGTGGTGTAGTGGTCAGCACAATGGGCCGGTATTCCAGAGGTCCGTGTTTCGATCCCCGGCGAAGGCATTTGCTAATTTTTCAATTCTCCTGCTTCCAAAAGAATACCTAATGTCTCTACAGTGGCGCCCGAACAGGGACATTAGGTTAATTGGAAAATCCGGAGAGATGAAACATGAGCAACCGCCTTCGCCACGGACCTCTAGAATACCGGTCCAGCGTGCACAAACATTCCACCACGAAGGCACGCTATGAAGGCGGGAGAAATGCATTATAACGTAATGTCATATTAAAACACCAGTATCAGAAGTATCCGTTAAAAACGCTGCGTAGAAAGCAACGTGAGAGGTTAACATCTCTGGACTCCTGTCTGCTTTATTTGCATTGGATACATTATGAATATGAGAAAAACGGGCATCAAATTTAATTATTTCACACAGTATCTTATTTTCAGTTCTCTTAATAGTTTTCGTGTTTAGTTTTTGTACTTTTACAGCTTGCTGTTATTTTTTATTCACATGTAAATTCTTTTTCCTGGTGTGATGAAAAAGATACATAGATCAAGGCATGGAACTTTTTTTTTAAATTGAAAATTCTTTTTCAATGAAATAATTTTTCTAATAAATTAATTTTAAATTTTCTAATTAATATTTATTAAAAATACATAAACAATATTAATTATTATGACGTAAAGGAAAAATTCGATCTAAAACTGGTATATTTTATAAAAGTCTTCACTGAAACCTAATTCACAGATCTCGAAAGTTTCCGAATAATTTCAACAAAATTTGTGTGAATTTGAAGAATTAGTAAGGGACGAACAATGATTACCACTGGTTGATTACTATTTTATTGATTTAAGGGGAAGTCTGAGAAATTCTTGACAAGCATTCTATTAATTTACTTCGAAAACAGCCCACCAGCGGCAGAGCGGTAAAGTCGCTGAACACTGGTAGTTCGGTCTGAGGATCGAAATCCTGCGAACGGGGCTGGCTGCATGGGTGTTTTCGTGGTGTTCCCCATGTGTAACGTGTAAAAAGTCCTCGACGAAGGCAACACTCCCTAAGGGCAGATAGCCCTCGAGTGCTTTGCCATAAGCTAATAAACCAACCAAATCAACCTTCGAAAACAATGCGAGTTCTTATTTTCTGAAAGAAAGTTTTACACGTTAAATGTAATAGAAGCACTTTTTGGTGGAATATGAAGTTATTTTAACTTCGGATATGAAATTAATGTCTATTCTGGGAAGCAAATTCGTAATTCTGAATCTCTGAATTTTTTTCCATCGGTATATGAAATACGCAAATATTTGTGTTTGAATAGCTAATTAATTTTTCTCTCTCTGTTCAAGCATGTTGCCTTTTCTCTGATTTTTTGAGAGAAAAATGTAATCGTAGAGACCACGCGAAATAAGTTGAGTATTTCTTGCTTTAATAAATGCTGCTTATTAATTTATACAGCCAGATGAATAGATTTCTAATATTCAATAACACTTGGTGGTAAAAACTTCAACTTACGAATCTCGTGCAAGATAGGCCACCAAAATTTATATGTATTTTTGTTTTTTTTCTTCAGTTCAAAATTCTGGAGTTTGTGATACTCTTCAGCAGGATTTAGTTTATTGTTTTGTTTGTGTTTATGATGCGACTGCATTTGAAAACAAATGAATATATTGAGGATTTGCACATCTTCGTTACTTTATTAAGATTATATAGCTTTAAAAAATCCTCCAATGAAATTAAATGCACTTCAGGGCTGGAGCATTTTAAGAAACATGCAACAGACTAATTCTGCAATCAGAAGATTAGTTAAATTATGCTTCAGGAAGCATTAGAAAATGGTAACATTGAGAGTTCTTTGAGTTGGAAAGACCGATTCAACAAATTAAAAGTACGTTCATTGTTTTCTTTTTTGTTCAGGAATTATAGAGCAATTTTTTTACTTAAAAACCAAAGCGTGTCAATAAAAAATGGTGAAGTTTGTTTTCAGTTGATATGCGGTAACAACTGTCATGTGATATGGTTTAAACTAGTTTGATTATTAACAGAGATTTTAAGGTGCTACTTTGGTAGACGGTTGCACGGATTTTTGGCGATTTACGTTGACGCAATTGTTGGCGCGATTTCTACAAACGTCAGCCATCTTGAAAAACGCTGTTTTTACGCATATAAAGTATCGAAACTTAAAAAAAAATAATATCGTTAGAAATATGGATTAATTTTTTTGTTGAAATATCGTTTTTTAAGATGGCAGGCAGTGTAAAAATACATTCTATGAGTATAAAATACCAAGTAAGTATTATTACTTTATATAGCAAGAAGAGATAAAAACACCGCTATAAAAACATTGTGCCAACGTTTAATTAGATTAATATTCCTGAAATTGAATCGAAATAAACATCATCCACATTTAAAGATTAGAATATTATTAAATTTAAATCTTTAAAATACGTTATATATCTATATCATATATATATATATATATCTATATATATTATATAGAATAAATAATATATATATTATATAGAATAATTATAATATATTATAAAAATTACATTTACTACGAGTATAAAATACTAAAGAAAGGTTAATTATTACTTTCATATAGCATAGAATAGATAAAATACCACTATAAAACATTGCGCACGTTCATGGATAAAATATACGTAAATTTAATATCGAATAAAAAACCATCATACCAATTTAAAGAATTAAAGTATTACTAATTAAATACTTTAAAATAAGTAAATAAGAACGCTTCGTAACACTAGAGCTAAATGACAGCAATTAGTTTTTGTAAAAAAGGAGGAATGTCTAATAATTTCTTACCGTTACAGCGGTTATTTCTCCAACATGACCACAATCATATACGGCCGTCTCAGAATCGGCTCTACTAACGGTCTTATCTGTGATCTACATTTTCGCACTTCATTGAAGAAACATTAGCGACATTTCCTCCAATATTTAAATAAATTTCCTCGAGCCTTGTAAGAATTTATAAATAAATCTTTGGTAGGAAACCAGTCTGGCTAAATAAGGTCTCAAAGGACAATTTTTGATTCCGAAACCAAAATTCTTGGTACTTATCAAAAACAACATATCTTTGAAGGAGACATTTTGAAGGAATTCGAATTGAATTAATTTAAAAGGCGCGGTAATGCACAAATTTTCAGCAACCTATCAGGGAGCTGATTATAGCTCATTAATGCACAAATATTCTATAACCAATCAGAAAGCTGATTACATCACGCCTAGAATTAAAATTATTTAATAATCATACATAATAAAATCATTTAAAAAAGAAATGCAAAATTAAATGTATTTTAATTTAACAGCCATAATAAGTTTAAAGCATTATAAATTATAGATATAAAACCAATTACTTTTAAAGTAAGGGGACGGCACTGATTACTCATCCAAGCATAAATTTCTAAAATATGATAAAGAATAAATTTTTATTCAAATAAAAATGCAAAATTAAACTGATTTTTAATATTTAGAAGCCATAAATAATATTTAAAACACGAAATTTATATATAACACGCATTATTTTTTAAATAATTGTCAAAAAGTATCGGTACCATAAATACTTATCCAGCAATGGGTTTACCATAAGTCGTATTACTAGCCAAAAGGAAAATTGCCAAAAACTCGCCAAAATCCGTGCAACCCTTTACCAAAGTAGCACCGATTTTAAAATCAGTACAGCGTTTTAATGCATGTTCGAATGACATCACGCGCGTTGGTAAAAGGTTTTCATACATACTGTGACTGTTACATACTAAAAGGCATATAATTGCTGACTTAGATCGACCGTATACTACTGTAACTTTGGAAAGCAATATTTTGGAAACTTTTGCGTTAAAAATTGTTTTACTTTCTTAATAACTGAACTTGATTTGATTTAATTACCTTTTCAATTAATTTTTTTTAAATTTTCAACATTTAAAAAAAAGATAACGTTTTTTAATTTAAATTTAATTTATAAAATTATTTTAGGATTAACTAAACCTATTAAAATTATTTGAAATAAATATCAATCTGAAGTATTAAAATTCAGCTGTCAGTTTATTTTAATCAGAAAATGTAATCAACAGAAATGTCTTGCGGGTACAAAAGTAGATTTCAGACAGAAAATATTTGACTTTTTTCATTTGTGCTTTTATTATTGTTTATTTATGTTTTGATAAACATTTAATAAGATAAATTTTAAATTTAGTTGAAATATTTCTCATTTCGTTGAAAAAATTTTTCATTTTGTTAAACAAAATCCTGGCCAGTCAGCTGTTTACATATTATTTATCCGACCCGCATGGAATTTGAGTTCAGGTCACTGGTATAAATCGTTAATACATTCACTGGAAGATTCGATGGTACGAGTTCTGAGGCCTCTATAGTTGAACTTTATCGTTTCCCGCAGTGAAAATCTCAAATATATATAAAAAAAAAGAACAAAAATAACAATTTTCGTAATATAGTGTGTGGTGGAATGTCAGATGTAAACACAGAAGCACAGTAATAATAAATAGCATGGAGAAGTCATTTTTATTCACCGATAATCAATTTACAGCAAATAAGTTTGATATTTAGAAGAACAGCTTAACTGAACGAACGCCAATCGCAATACATGCTTCACAATGACAATCGATCTCGTTTGCAAAATCTCACGAAGAACTTATCGACAGAATTAGTATTTCTATTGCAGAGGTAAGGCGAAATGCAAGAGATCATTCTAAATCTACGATAATCAATTCCCAGTCTTGTACTGTATGTATTGCAAATGGTGGTCGTTTCATTTGGACAAATCTTATATATATCAAGCAATATTTTTTTGTAAATATTCGTAACCACTTTTCATTCTCCATATTTTTCATACTTACTACACTCGTGTGCAAAATTAAGAGAATTTGCACATTATTTCGAATTACTGAAAAATTAATCGACAGATTTTAATGAAATTTGGTATGGATATCAGCGAAAAAGATATAACATTACAGAGGTCATTATATATACACATGATTATCAGCAAAGATCATAGTGTAGGGATATACAAAAATCCAAGTGGTGATATCAAACTTAAAATAAGTATAATACGGGGCATGGCCTCCCCTAGCAGCCAGATAAGTCGCGCAGCGTGCCAGCATGCTGGAGAGGAGGCAGCTGAGGAGTCTGTGGCTGTCGGTTCCACTCCTGCAGCAAGGCAGTTTTCAGCACCTGGCCAGATGAAATTGCCCTATTAAGAGGGCCTTAGAAATGCTTTATTGGGTTAAGTTTAGAAGATTTGGCTGGTCAGTCCTTCTGGCGAATATCCTCGCTTTCCAGATAAGCGTCGACCAGCTGAGCCCTATGTTGTCGGCCATTAACGGGAACCCAGGTCCAACTCCGTTCCTGAAAAGTTGAACATTGGGCTCTAAGATCTCCGCTCTGTACCTCAAAGCAGTCATGGAACCTTTGTGAAACACGTGCAGAGGGACGCGACGGTCTAATATTAATGTCTGTCTAAACCATTACACCTGCATGTCTAAACCATACCACCGTAATGATCCTTTCCCATGATGAGGTATCCCGTTTCAGGCTTTTCTCGAGATACAATCACGCCGAGAATCATTGTCCAGCAAAGCTGTAGTTACGGTTTTCAGCGCGCGGGGACAACTGAAGATTTCCCCCCCCGCCTGTAATCCAAGAATGAAAAACATTTCATTCTAAAATTTTATAACATCAAATTGGCATCCTATCGATGCTGCGCCCTAGAACAGCTGTCCCCCCTTGCCCCACCCTAGCTACGCCAGTGGTGTCCAGGCTGAATCTCGACTCATGTGTAAAATGCACGGTCTTCTTACTAAAGTCTGGTCTAAGGCGCATGTAGCTAGCACGATGCTAAACGCTTTGTGTGCTGCAATGACCAAAATGCAAACAGAGAGTCGTCTGACACACAGCCCTATCTCATGAAACATTCGAACAAATGCAGACCGTGAAACTCCGGTTCCAGGTGCATCATACAACTCACGTGAGAGCTGTGAAGCTGTCGCACTCCTGTGTTGCAGCAATGAAAGTGCCAAATAACGATCTTCATACGGCTTTCGTAGGCCTTGTCCAGGTCTTCTCGATATGGATCCAGTATCCTGAAACTGTTTCCATAAACTTGACGACAATGGGCTTTACCTTAAAGCTCTGTAGTGAGCTTAGGGTATTGAAGCTTAAGGGGGCTCATACACCTTAAACCCCTTAACTCCCTTCGAATATGTGACTGTTGCAAGAATTGGGAGATTTTATTTATTTTAAAAGTAATTACTTTCAACTTTTTACAGCTGACTACATAATATAACTGTTTGTAAATAGGACAGAAAGTTTTGTTGCCACAAATACTTTGTAATTTAATCCGCGGTGACAAATTTTTCGTCACTTTCAGCTTGCGCGCACGATATTTTAAAAATGCTATGGTACATACTGAAATTGGATGGAATTCTTTATAGAGCTCTTTTTAACTGAACCAAAATCTGTGAATATTTAATTTAAAATTTAGGACTAACATTACGTTTTTTTATAAAATACATTTATAAACTCCACTTCAAATAAAATAAAATACATCAATCTTAAATTTGGTTCACAGTAGTTCAAATGTAGAAAAGCTATATATTAATATGGAATTAATTATGCAACATAAGTTCAAATGTGCGGCAAGGTGACAGACGAAATTTTTGTAAAGCGTATTAATTATAAAAATATGTGTGGCAAGAACTTCTGATCATTTCAGAAAGCACTATATTATGCAGTCCGCTGTAAAACGTGAATTATTGCTTTAAAATAAATAAGTTATCCCAATTCTTGCAACAGTCACATATTCGAAGAGCTTATGGGTTTTAAGGTGTACTAGTCCCCTTAAGGTATTTTAAGGTATTAAGGAAAAGCCCTAGGCATCCTTATGGCATACCGAAACGCAGATCGCAAGTATGTTAAAACTATAGCGTTTTAAATAGTTTGCCCTTTGCCAGTTAATTACCATGTTTTTTTAATTAGCGCTTTTAAGTCAAACTTAAAAAAGAAAAATGAAAGAAATGAAGGAGACATGATATTGAAAACATGCCTTTTTCATGATTTTCTAATTTCTGCCAAACATGGTTTATATTTCCATAGCAAAAATTCTCTTGCCACAAGCGAAATTGCGGCACTTAATTATTATGTACTGCCAAGTAGTACGATTTAGCGCCAAATATGGAGACCCACTTTAGAATATCGCACTAACGATTGGCGACCGTTGCCGAAACTTCCACCAACGGTCGACAGGATAATACGTAAGTATCGAAATTTCCCTATCTCAAAGCTTGTACAGCTATTAGGAATTTATTTGGAACAAGAAACAGCAAAAACCCGCTATACCCTCGCCGACATTTATTACCTCGCCGATTCCGGATCTTCTGATATCCAAGCGGATATGCAACAATTACATAACGAAGACACGCAGTGGGGAAGGTAAACGTTTCTCGCAGGTTAAAAACAAAAAACTGCAGAATCATCCTTACTTATCTAATAAAAAAGATGAGCAGCAGAGAAGAAAAGAAAGCTTTAGTTTATAGTCTTTGATCCTGCAAATATGCATTTATGTTCCTGCAAATATTAATTTACTTCATGTATGTTCTGGAAGGACGCAAATTGTAATATAATTTCTAATTAATGTAATATATTAATTATATTAAGTCGTGAGTTATATATGAGAACTATCCTTTAATACATACTTATTTATTTTATCTCTTTCAACAGAGAAAATTTAAAAAGAATTACAAGCTCATTACATTAATCGCCGTTGTAGTAATCAGCCTGGTACTGCTAATAGTGCTTTTAGCTACTTTACTTCCACGGCGACGAGGGAATCCGGATGAAAACGACAGAATAGAATGCCCTGGATTTAAAAGTATGTGACCTTTAATTTTACGCAAAGGAAATCCGTCTTTTTTTTTTTTTTTTTTTTTTGTAATTTGTTCGAAATACTTTCTTTTTCATAATTCTGTTTGCATACACATGATCAGATAATTTGTAGTGCAAATATTCATTATTTTCAAAATAATGTGTTAATTAAAACTTTATTTCATTCACTTCAATAATAAAATTTAATTTATTAGTATTCGCTTTACGTATTTCATAATTCTCTATTTCAATTTTTTTTAAATCTTATGTGTGCCAGTCGAAGCAAAAATAAACTACTTGATGTGATATTATTTTAAATTAACTTACTTTTTTATGATTAGTGTTTTTATGTATACCGTATACCTTACTGAATCTGATTATTTAATTTATGCCTATTCATGGTTATTTTATGTCATACATTTGTATGTTAGAAATTTACTATTCAATGTATAACGAACTGATACTTTACTGATATTATTTAATAGCCTAAATAATTATTTTTAAAAGTAATTATTAATGCTCTTTAATTTTAACTTCAAGAATTAATAGTGAAACGAGGACGAAAGTCTAATCTTGAAAATGGTTGAAAAGAACATAATGTTGATTTCAATTACAATTAAAATTGGCACATTTAATCTGGCTTGACTAATTCATAATTTAATGAAAAAAGAAGAATGGACGTCTAAACATAAACATGGTTCAAAAGGATCATTTTAGTGTTATTTCAGTTAGCGTTAAAATGGGCACTTTCATTCTGATTTCACTAGTCAAAGTATTTCACACAGACTTCACAAAAATCTGATGTGGACACCACAATGACTTCCTTGCACGGCCTTTTAAATTATACGCACTTTTTTGGCGCACTTCATTTAAACTTATTTCCTACAATTTTATTACAAATATTTTTCTCCTTCAGTTCTCATTTCTCGGCAAGGCAAAAAATACACAAAACTCAAAATTAAAAATTGTGAAATACAGAAAAACCTAAAACACCAAATACAGTTAAAAACAATTGAAAAAAACTTTTACAATTAAAATTAGGGTTTCTAGGCAAGAAACAAGCAATTTGGTCAGAGGGCTGACAGACTAAATTTTCGGTGCACAAAATTGAAAGTTAACTTTTGGTCCTAATCGTAAAAAGACATTCAAGTTGGTGCACCAGCAGATTTAATTCACTGTTCTACTAAGAGTTTCAAATGTAGAGAAATGGCGTCCTCGTTAGGCTTAGCGCCATTTTAAAATTTTTGATAATTTTACGAATATCGCATGCACATTAACTAAAGGCATAAAAACCTTAACCGGAACACAAGAACAACATAATGCTACTACTTTTAAATCAATAAATGCAGAATTTAAATAATAAAAGAATAATCAGAATAAAAATACTAAGCTCACTGAGCCGGGTAACAGATGGCAATATATATATATGTAAGACAAAAAATATAAAAGTAAAATTCTAAATTTAACTCACTACTATATCCTCTTTTATTTTTTATTTCATTTGGAAACTTCATCGCTCTGTCCTAAAAATAGCGAAATAAGTCTAAACTGAGTCATTCAAATTAATCATTTGATCTTACGTACCCTTAATGCAGATATCTCGTGCCCAATCAAAGTAATTGTAAACCAAAGCCTTTTGACTCCCTCCTTTGTTCCTCTGCATTACTACTGCAACACTCTTTCCCTTTTTGCTTGTGCTCTCCTCTTGGCTAGACGTCTTTCTGCAATTATGTGTGTGCTGCTACTTACGCTTCTGTGAGAATAATATCAAAATTGAAAATGCTCTTTAATAGGCACGAGTAGAGTGCAAAGTGAATTGTGGCCACAAGTGAATAAAAATAAATGAAAGGAATTTAATCTGGCTCGATTGCTTATTCTTCAACATGAATGGACGCTCTAAGCTTCAAGTATCTACGCAACTGGTATTTCTACGCATCTACGTCTCAATGTTCTTATTTCAGTGCCTCTAAAAGTGTTCTGTCATTACATTTTTCGGCCAGTTCTAATTATGAAGAATTCTACACGGGTTTGTTAGTCTGTGTTCACAGTGAATCATGGGAAAAGTCCTGTTTCACCTAAAATTTTAATGCAAGTTTGTGCCGCATTCATAATCATGTCTTGTCATCATTCATAATCATGTCTTTCATGTCTTGTCATCCAACCACAGTTTCATTACATATATATGTACATATACAGCAGTTCCAAATACAGAATTTCACCGTTCTATGGCTACTCGTTTTTGAGTTAAGCGAGATACGTACATATGTAGGTATGTACGTACAGACGTCGAAGGAAAAAAAAATCTCTTCAGAATCCATTTTAAATCCATTTTACAATGCGTTTTGGAAAAAATAGTCCTTTATTCTGTCATAGGTCCAGATGTCACGCAGAAACATTGTCCAAATGGATTTATACGTTGTCAAAATGGGTGTTTTCGTTGAAAAATTACACCTGAAATTTTTCGCGATTACAAAACTTCCTTTACGTCGCGCCAGGAACTAAGAAGAACAGTGGATATACTGAAGGATGGGTAAAACGATCATCAGGAATGTGATTTCAGTTAGCATAAAAATGGGCACTTTCCCTCTGACTTATTAATAGTTAAATGAGAAGAGAAGGACGGACGTCTAATCTTAAGGATGGTTAAAAAGATGATCCTTTTAACGTAATTTCAGTTCGTATTAAAATGGGCACTGACTTTTGGCACACAGTATATATCAATAAAAAATTTGAAACAAAAGTTCAAGCAATCTACGTTAAATATAATTTCTTGAAGGGTGCAGAAAAGGATCGTCTAATACACCCTGCTATACATGTTTTTTCAGAGCGGCGTTTTTTTCAGAATCATTGGTCGTAGACATGTAGTTCCAGCTATAAAAGTGTTTTAAATGAGGCAAATACTCAAATTTCGACATTTTAAAATTTAAAAAATATGATGTGTGCGCCACATGACTTCCTTGTACGGAATATTAAATTATACCCATTTTTTCTTACATTTCATTTAAATTTAGTGGATTGAATTAAATCTACTTCATCGATATAGCATAAATCATAGCGACACTTTGACCCTAGGTTCACTGCACAGCATTATATTTCGCTCATTTTTTAACTCAGAATGCATAAAATTTATATCATCTTAAGAATTATCTAATCATTGTCACATGTTCTATTCAAATACTATAATAAATCTAGAAATTAAGCAAAGAACAACAACAACAAAAAACAAATAGTTTTCACAGACGATTCAGTATTTCTCATTCAATTAATTCAGTTCTCAGTTGGCGACAAAGCAAAAATACATTAAAACTCAAAATGTTTCTATTGAAAATTATGAGGTAAATCTTAAACATTTATTTCCTCGAATAAATTCCAGAATGGATTAAACATGATTTAATTTGCAATAATAAAAGAAGGCGTTATCTTTGTTATTGCAAAGCTTACTTTCTCTAGATTGGCAACAAATGTAAACAAGCAATGGCCGCCGTTGAAAAAATTATTAGGCTTAGCGGCACTTAAACAACTTTTAAAGTACTAATTCAGAATTGTTCGGCGTGTTATTGTGTCTTAACTTTTAAATTGTTGATAATTCTAAAAATATTGCATACAGATTTACTAAAGACATAAAAACCTTAACCGGAAGATAAGAACAACATAATTCAATCACTTTTAAAGCAAAAAATGCACAACTTACAAACATGTAAGAATAAAAAACTGAGATCACTGAGCCGAGTAACAGAGTGGGTATATATACATATATTTATATACTTTTGGTGCGGCCGATTGCAACCAAAATACGAGGTGCACATCTACATGTTATAGCAGTCCTATATATTCAACGTTCTGAGGATACTCATTTTTGAGTTATGCGAGATACGTACGTACGTACGTACGCCACGAAAAATTCTCTTCAGAATTCATTTTAAATTAGTTTTACAATTTTTTTTGGGGGGAAAAGAGTCTTTTATCCTGTCCTTACGTACAGATGTCACGCAAAAACATCGTTAAATTTCATTCGCTAGCGGTGAAAATGGTTATTTGCGTTGAAATATGATGCCTGAAACTTTTCGCGATTACAATACTTCGTACAAGGAAGTAAAAAAAAATACAAAATCTAATTTTTCATGCGGTTTCTAAATTTCTATAGTTATATTCAATAAAGTTTGTACTCATTATCGAAAAAATATTTGACTTTTTAAATAAATAATTCTACGTCTATGGCATTCTACGGCTGTCGACATATGACCAAATGACATATGACAAAATCTGGACACGATATAAATATTTTATCTGATATCTTAAACGTTATGATCATTTCAGGTAAGGAATCTTGTGAAAAGTCTGGCTGCTCTTACGATTACATAAACAATGGACCTTCCTGCTATGTGAAAAGCGATAGGTTTCGGTATAAAGTTTTATCTCAAACAGCTAAACCTGATGGCGTCATCCTCAAACTGGAAGCTACTGAACAGCAAACACCTTACGGACCTTCCTTTCCTCAAGTTAAATTCGAAGTGACTTACATCACAGAGAACATCATCCGATTCAAAGTAAGTCCTGGAAATATAATCCCTTTCGCTAACATTTCCTTTACTGTGTGAGTTTAGAAATTTATGACGATCATTTATACTCATTTGAAATACATTGCCCAGCCATTAAAATTACTATACCGTGAAGGCGTCATGCAGCAAAGGTCAAATTTGCATGAAAGGTACTACATGCTGGGATATACAAATGATTAGCATTCCAGCGCATGCGCACAATGCAGATATCAGTAACGATATCTACAAATGGACCGTAATTAGAGACTTCAGATCCCTGGAGCAACAGATAATAATGGAGCCTACCTCTTTATTATTTCGCACAAATTTAACCACATTTTTCTAGTTATGAATCATAATTTTCGTGGCAATTAAAGTAACTCTATGCATTTCAATTGAATAAAAAAAATTCCGATATAAATGTGTACTCGATGTGTTACTTTTGATTCCTGTTTAATCTCGTTAGGTTAAAAAGAATATGATATCCGGAGTTATTAAACGTCATACAGAGCGTAATATAGAACATATGTACTACAATTCAGGTAAAATGTTTACTAGTACATTCTTCAGATTGTATTTTATTTTTACTCTTGGATTACGAAAACCTTTGTTTTCTAATTATTAAAGAAATAAATTCATTAATTATTTTATCGTAATTAGTTTTTGGGATTCTGTTATTCTCAACTGAGAACAAAACTAAACTGGCAAGCATTTCCTCTACCATGCGGCTTCGAAAATGGTTGTAATGTTCTAGCTAAATTTGTAGTCCTTGGGAAGCTAGAATCCTTAAGAACTGTGAAGCGAATAATCGCTGAGTTGTTCAATAACAACTGCAAAGAAGCTTTAAATTACCCTTTTATTCAACTCAAGATATTTAACAGATGACCCCTTTCGGACTTACAGTAATCCTCTGCTTGGGCTTTTAACTTAAGATAGAAAGCAAGAAACTAATCTAATGCTAACTGAACTAAAACCAGCCGAAGTTGTGCAGATACAGTAATACCCCGCTTAACGCGGGGGATACGTTCCATCGAAGTAGAGCGTAATGCGACACAGCGCTAAGCGAGGCTATTTAATGTAATAATGGGTTAGGGGAAGACGGATAAAATGGTTAGGCATTAATTTAATAATGTTTTTTTAATAAAATAAAATCAAAATTTATTTCTTACAACAATAAAAACAATATAAACGCTATACTTTTTAAAACAATAAAATTCTCAGTCAGATCATTCAGTTATTTCTGGGTTTCCAATTTTCTGCCTTGGGTTAAGAAGGCATTATGATAGATTGGCTTAATGGCATATTGCGTTCAATCGTCGTCATCCATATAGACAGTCGTTTTTCCATTTGCTCTATAAGTTATTCTAGAACGGGTAATTCTAGTTGCAGAGCTTGACGTAGTGCAGTTGCCGATGACAGTATTTTTCCTTTATTCTTAAGAATTGTACTTATTGTGAAGTTGCCAAAATCAAATGCAGCACTATTTGAGATTGACGTCACCGGCATCTAATCTTCTAATCACTGCATTGAGTTTCCAGTGAAATGCTTTCTGGTGCTATCTTTTCTTGTGTTTACTCGTATCATCACCCATATAAAACTAAAGATCATAATTTTGTCACTGTATATTATCGTATAGTATTATATATCAATTTACATATTACAATGTTGTTTCATGATAAAAGCAAGAAACACACTACACTGTTTCGGATATGTTATTTGGAAACCTAGCGCTGCGCACAATTTCGGAGAATCCCCGGGTTGAAATAAAAGAGCGCTAAACCGAAACAGCGTTAAGCGGGGTCTTACTGTATTTCCAACCGAGCTGGCCCTTATTAAAAGATCACCGGCTAATACTAGCAGGCACGTAGTATTGTACCGAATGTAGTTAAATTAGGCTTAACGCAAGGGCGTGGTCAGAAGGCAGAACACGGTCTACTAAGAATTCTAAAGCTTTTCTAGTGAAGTGACCGAGACTTGCTCTTAAATACTAGTTTCTGCCTCATTTACTTAAAATGCGATCTTGGAAACTCATGCTGGTAGGGAATCGTAGGTGGGAAATAATGAAGTAAAGGAAAGTATGTTCAAAAATAAAATTAACTATTAGGGCATTAAAATAAACCCCTATATAGCTCATTTTTAGTTTTGGGAATGGTCGATTAGCCTTAACTACAGTCACAGAAACGATGAAGCACATGATGCATGCTGTGTAAACACATGTGCTTAATGGTGTAGGCACAACATGCATCATCAAGAAAACTCGAGGAAAGTGAACTCATTATCAAGATCCATTAATCCGTATGATGTTATTAATTCTTTTCAACCTCCTCTTTAAAGGAAGCCTTAATTAAAGGTAACTGGGATGGGGATGGAAAAGCTAATGATGCGTCCTCTGGAAACCTTCGAAGCAAATCAACTGCTTTGTCGTCGGATCTCTTTTTCATTCACTTTCATAAGAAATTCGAATAAAATTACTTGGCAAGTATCAAGAACATTCTTCATACCTAGGAAATGATGACGAAGTTGAGTGAATAAAAAAAATCTATCTATCTATCTAAAAAATCTATCTGTATATCTTCTGTACCCTAAAACAAGATTCTAGATCTTTTAATGCATAATTCATCATAATGATTTTTTACTAATCCTACTTTGCCAGAACTCTTTAATTATTCTCTAAAGCTCAAAAATCTCTGAAGCGATCGCCACAAGATCTTCAAATTTCATTCGAGTTTCGATTATTCTATGCAAAGCATTCTCTAGTAATCCATAATCGATGATGATAAATTTACGGCTTGAGATTGTAAAGACATTAGCACAATGTTTAGAATTAATAGAAGTTTATACTGTATAACTACGCGTAGGATAAAGTCAGTTTACTTTAGTTGTATTGCTTCATTCCATTCCGTTCACTCTGGCTACTCAGAATTATGCGGTTGAGACATTTCACCACATTTTCATCTTTATGCTTTAAGGCATACACTGAATAATATCTCCCGACTCAGCAAGTAGGATTTAGGACTTTTCGTGTTACTTGATCCACTCTGGTATATAGTTTTCAGTTCGTCTCAGCGAACAATGTTATGACCAAAATAGCAATCCACATTTTTGACTTAAAAAAAAAAAAAAACTAATTAATTTCTAGGTTTCCCTCAGTAGCATCTTTTAAAACTAAATTTAGATTATGTTCCGCACAATTCATTATAGGCTCCAAATATTTCTGCTGCCCCATCATATCCTTGCCCACGACATTTTGTTAAATTCAAATTTTTCTCGTACCTTTTCATGATTGACCTTTTATTTTTTTAAATAAAAGTTTCTTTCTGGTAATACACGAATATGTGTAACCATTAATTGTCATCGTTCACACTGATACACAATTTTCATTCTCAGTGAATCATTTCTGTCAATGTATAGGTGTGTATGTATCATTTTTATTGATGTGTGTAGAGTCCAGTAGAGAAGTATGATTATGTGTTTTCATTTAATCGCCATCATTCGTATGTGTTTATGCATATCATTTCTAGTAGTTTATGTATAGTCATATAGGATGACATACGATTACGTGTATTCATTAATTGTCATCTTCTGCATTATTGCGCCAGTTGCGTCAGTGTTTCATTTCTTTTAATGTATAAGTGTTTATTGTTTGCCTATCTCATTAACCCGTTAGACCAATATACATATGTATCCAATGTACCTATACCACCAATGTACCTGTGTATGAAACTTTTTATCAATTGTATACTGAAGCATATATATGCACACGCCCTTGTTTGGCCACGTCAATACCACATATTTTCCATTAATATATTCCCGATGCAGCCCTCTCAGGAAGTCGGCAGGGTTGTGTTGTTCTAAATAGGTGCGGGTACCGGACGACACCCGATTTGTCATATTAAGCCGTCCGGGGTGTCCGGGCCCTGCATTCACCTGTCACCTTTTATTTTTCTAACAGAAATAAAAACTTCACTAGTTTTTAATTCAGAAGGTATTCCTGTTTTGTCGTTCACTATTTTTACATATGCAGGGGAATTCAAAACTATGTGTCAAAAATGTAAAGGAAGGTAGAGGGGACCTGAATAAGCAGGTTTCGTATAGGAATGTGTATGCAGTAATGCCGTATTACAGCACTAGCGCGAGAGACAGGAGACCGCTGGGTGAGCAGCTGGTGTCGATGCTTACTCAGCGGGACCACGTTTATTTAAAATTTTATATCACAATAAAAATTTGATTTTGATGCATACATAATTTTGATGTATACGTATTAGCACGTGAATCACAGGAAACTGAAAAGACGGGCAAAAGAAAAAAAAAAAAAAAGGCAAAAGAAAAAAAAACTATTAACAGTTTACAATAGATACTTCAAAGAGCGGCCACCAACAGCGATATAAGATTCACAGTGGCGGCGCATTGGAAACGCGTAGATTAGAAAAGACGTCAGGCATGACGAGCCCATGTCCAACTGCAACAGACAAGTGGGCAACAAGAACTTCTGCAGATGTGATGGAACTCCCGGGTACACTAGGCCTTTAATATGACCTTAAAAGAAGAAGTCCAAGCTGGTTAAATCAGGAGAACGCGGTAGCCAGTTAACTGGTCCTCAACGTCCTATCCAGTGCTAGCTATCCAGTGCTATCCAGTCCTATCCAGTGCTATCCAGTGCTAGCCTATCCATGTGGTTCCAGACGTTCCGGCTGAAGTGAGCTGGGCTCCATCGTGCTGGAACTACATTCGTTTGCGAACAGCTGGAGCGACCAAAAGTTCAGGTAATGTTGAATCGCTTCCTATACATTCTTTGAGCAACTAATCCATTTCCATGTGCAGCCCCGTATATGAAATGCATGTCGACAAGCTTCGCTTTGGTGTAACTGCTCGAGATCCGTGAGGAAAGTGAAGAATCCAGCTAGTGCAGCGCTTTTATAGGTCGGACTCATCAGCGCTCTCTACCGGATCAATGCGGCATTACTGCACACACATTCCTGCTTATTTAGGTCCCCTCTTAGACATATAATTTTGAACCACCCTGTATATGTAAGATAACAAATATGGAAATCAAAATTCACCCCGTAATTCTTCCTCTCTAAAAAATCGTAACTTTTCTGGACCGCGTCATTTCTAGATCAATCCACCTTGCTTGGCTTGGGTATCGCTGATGACGTAGCTAACTCGGAATCTGGAGTCAAAATTTTGAGAACTGAAACCTTTCTAAGCTAAACTAAAACCTTGTCTTGGTGTGCTTCCATATTGGATAATTGCTTCAGCGCCTCTGCAGCAGTCAAGATGCTTCTTCATTCTGTTTGCTTTGTCGTGCCGATAACTATGCCACTACCTAAAATGGGACACTACATATAAAAATGCGGGTGCGTATAACACCCATGATCATGTGTAATTAAAGATAAGTTTTTGATAATTAATTCATATCCACCAATAAAAGGTATATTCAATTCGACCAGGTCTGCCTACAAATCTTTCCTTCGAGTGTTATCATTCTAAGTCTTCCCAGGATATAACGAAGAGAACCATCGTCAGTCTGTTGCAGCTTACTCCAAGTCATCTTATTACATATATAAACTTCACTCTATTGGTTCACTTTAAAGACATCTTGGGCTGTATCTAGAATTAGTGGAAAAAAATGAGGCATTTTGAAGTTCGTATTTTATAGCATTATGAAGATTGACATAATCTGATTAGTCATTGATGAATTCATAAGTATCATTCTTTATTTAACTAGAAACAAACTTTACTTCTAATTAGCTAAGTAATTTGACTCCTTAAACAGTGAAAACATAAGTATCGTTAGCGAAGTTTAGGTTTTCAATTTTTTTAAATAAAATTTCTAGTATAAAAGAATTCATATTTATTTTTTCATCACTCTAAGCTCAGGACCGTATCTACCACTACGGCCCTGGCATAATATACTGTTTCATAGAACTAAGAATGATTACGGTTTTCCGTTAGAGTTTAAAAAACAAGAGAGCTTCAATTGTTTTTACTAATGAGAACAGGATGTACGTTGCAAATTTTAAGGGGAAAAGAATTACGGCAGAAAATGAAAAATACAAACAAACAAAAAAAAAAAAAAAAGGAAATCAAATTCCAAATGATATGTATTGCGTAAAAATTCACATTTTCTACACACTGTTGCCATTAAAATTGCAACACCATACAATAAACAGCTGAAATGACATTTGCATGGTAGATAGAAAATGGTAAAACATGAAAATGATCAGAAATGAAATTATAGGGATCTCTAACACTACGTAAACAAAGGAAGGCTTTTCCATAAGCGAATCATGTTTCCTCTTTGTTTAATTAATTAGATGTGCTGAGTATGCTTTGAATACAATGATGGAATGCACAGTAACATGCACTTGAATTTGAATCGACTAAGAATAAGAGTTTACCTTGACTGCGGTTTATCATACTGCCAAATTATTGCTCGCATGGAGCGAAATCTGACCACTATGTGAGTACGGAATCGATGGATCCAAATGGATGAGCGGGCTCCGCTCATCCTTTTTGGATTCATCGCGTATGAGAAGATAGACATTATGAGAGAACTCGCCGTACGGCGATGTTTCTCATTTTAGCACAGGAAATACGGTGTGTTGCACAGCGAGAAGTGTTTGCGCTTACAGTGAGACATCTCATAAGAGTCACAAACTACAGGGGTTGGACAAAAATATGGAAACACCTTTAAAAAAACATATTTCTTTGCTTAATATGGTGTAGGAAACGCGTTGGCATCCAAAACAGCTTGCAGTCTTCTCGAAATGGATAAATACAGTTCCTGTATGTTTGCCAAGGGAATATTATACCATTCTTCCTGCAAAACGGTGGCAAGTTCAGATAACGATGTTGGCGGTGCATAACGAGAACGCACTTTCCGTTCCAATATAGACCACAAAGGTTCGATAATATTCAGGTCTGGTGACTGTGGTGGCCAGGGAAGATGGAACAACTCATCCTCGTGCTCAGAAAACAAGTCCTGGACAATGTGAGCTGTGAGAACAGGGGCTTTGGTGTCTTGGAAGACACCGTCACCATCGGGGAACAAAGTTTGTACCATGGGATGAACTTGATCGGCCAAAATGTTCACATAAGTCTTGGCACTCATGTGCCCTGACACAGTTATCATGGGGCTAGCAGAGAACCACGATATGGCTGCCCAAACCATAACAGAACCCCCGCCATGTTCACTCTTGGCAACAAGCAGTCTGTATTATAAGCTTGAGATGGTGTTCTCCAGACGTAAACTCGGCCAGAAGTGGGAAATAATGTGAAAGAAGACTCGTCAGACCATATTACTCGCTTCCACTGCGCTATAGTCCAGGCTTTGACTTAAACACCTCCTTTTCCTGTTACGGGCATTAGCGTCACTGACGAGTGGCTTCTCAATTGCAGCACGGCCAGCAATTCCCTGTTTATGAAGCTCCCTTCTAATTGTTTTGGTACTCACAGGGTTCGGTAACACAACATTCATTTCAGCAGTAACTTTGCAGCTGTGATCTTCTTATTTTTCGTCACAATTGCCCTTAATGATCGTCTGTCACGATCACTCAGGACACACTTGCGTCCGCGCTGTGATTTAGCAGATGATGTTTTTCCGCTTTTCAAATATGCGGAATAAATCTTCGATACAGTACCTCTTGAAACACTAAACACCTCGGCTACCTTGCTTACGGAAGCACCTACCATACATGCTCCAACAATTTGCCCACGTTCAAAGTCTGTTAATTCTGACATAATGCAATGACAACCTCACATAACAGTACTCTGACAACAACTGAACTGTTTAGCACATTTACGAAGTTGTATAGGTGGCGTCAGTAGTCAAAAACGCCAGCGTCACTTACATATTTCATTAAAATAAATCTTTCTTTTCAAACATGCATTTCACAAAGTGTTTCCATATTTTTGTCCATCCACTGTATGTGCCTGGTAGTAATTTCTTTGTGTGCATTGCTTATTTTACTTGCTTAATGCATGTTCCTGCGCTGGCAATCGTCCATCGAACGTATCAAATGGAACATGAATGGCGTGTAATTTATGTTTCCTTTCTTTCTTTTTTGTTTTGTTTTTGTCTACGTTTCTCCATTGTGCTGAAGCCGGGATGACCCACTCATGTGTCACAGGGCAACTTCATGGCCAAGCAAGCAAGCAAGATCAGTCCCCTTAACCAGCCTAACTAACCTAACATGAACAGCGTAGCATCGTCTTCTCATAGGAATCCCATTTCTGTATGCAACAGCATATTGTATATGTGAAGATATTGTGCCACAGTACGGAGTAATTGTTGGAACGGCCCAGCATAGGCATACGTGATATAGGGTGGGGCAGGATATGAGTCGTGCTCGTGTCTGATGCTCATATCTAATAGTCTGCATGATCAGTCAGTATTAGAATACAGACATTATGAACGCCTATGGTTGCCAGATATGTCCAGAAGCAGCCTAGAAGGACCTTCCAACAGGATAGCACTCGTCCACACGAGGGATTCCAACACTTCTTTGACATGCAGAAGGTTATGGTTTCATCTTGTCTGGTGCATTCACCAGATTTTTGCCCACACTGAATAAGTTTGATCAATGGCGTCACAGATTTTGGTGGTTTCTGCCATGACAGAAACCACCAGCATCTACATCAGATGAACTCTGATGACAAATTCAGCTCCCTAGGTTGATATACTATAACGTCTCATCGACTGTATGAGGCAGCTCATGATAAAAATACTCGCAGTGCATTCCTTTTACCCAAAATACCTAAGATATTAATGATTTCATCCTTGTTTTATTAGAAATCCGTTTAGTTAGTTTATTGTGTTACCTTTTGTCCTTGTTGGTGCTGCAATTTCAAGGACCAGTCCTATACGTTTTGAAAAATAGGTGACAGCAAATGATCATAGTCACTGTTGTTTAGTTTCTGAAATTGGAATTATGTGTTTATGTCCAGTTTTGCAAGTAATATTAATCGAAAAATATTTTCGAAGTATTTTTCATACTTAATCAAGTGTTGCTCAAAATGCTCAGCAATATAGCTAGCAGCAATCCAGAAAGGTAGAATTAAATTATTAAAATTAAAACAAAATCTGTTAAAATTGACTCAACAAGGAACTACTTATTTTATTTACAGTTATCTGATGGCACAGAAAATTACCAGCCTTACGAGGTTCCAGTTCAGGACCACTTTCCTTTGTTGAGGAATGAAATAAATATTGATGCAAACAACTTATCTTATAAAGTCAGCTACAGCAATGAAGCTGACTATTTTCACATGAACATTTCTCGCATAGAAGGAGTAACTTTGTAAGTATTACATTTTAGTTACGTACTTCTTATTCAAAATTAGACAAAAATAAATTTTTCATTTAAATATGTGCTTAATTTTTTTTTTAATTAAGGCAAATCTTAGAAGTATTATTGGCTAACGTTCAGTCTTAAGTCTGACCATTAGCCCCCCATAAGTTGCAATCTGAGGATTTACAAATTCTCATCTTTCCCCCCGAAATTTTCAAGAAAACTTTTGTATTTACAGAATTTATACTCCACTCTCACTCATAACCATTCTTATTTTATTTGGTCTTGTACTGTAAGTTAGCCGGTCTGCTGGTATACTTTAAAGTGGGACCATTTTACGTAAAGTGGGACCATTTTCAGCCGCATGAGACTACAGACATTGGAGGATGGGATAAAACTATCTACGGGAAAAGCTAGTCCCACAGTTTACTGTCTGTCTGGAATTAAGCAGAATCGCCTTCTGTGGTTGTACTGGAGATAAAAAAAATTCGGATATACCGGCGCACAGCAATCTCTGTAGATAGCACCGGGAAACATAGCCAAAGCTTTTCGACAAGAGCATTCATAACTTCCGGAAGATACGAAAATTTTCAGACATAAAGCTGTAGCTTTTGAATTCTGGTATCAAGTCTACGCTTAATTTGAAGTAATATCGCACAATATCCCTTAGCAAAGTTGCTGGCTGTTGTAAAGTTCCAGAAAATAACATCCCTCCAGGGAAGAATTTAGCCAATCAAAGACAAATTTGCTTAAATTTGAATTCCCCCTTTACAGACAAGAAAGCGATGTTCGCCGTGACTTTTGGAACAAAACTATCAAGCACTTTCGAGAAAGACAGAAACAAACGGGGGGAAAAAGCGCACCTTTTTCATTTGAGAGTTTAACGAGCTTTTGTGAGCTCTGTGTTCCGGGGTAAGCATGAAGGCTCAACTATGGAAAAGATCCTGATTCGTTTCAAAAGTAGGGAATATTTTCTCAAGTATTTTCTTTTGTATGTTGGACGTGGAATAGTTTTGCGGAATGAACGAATCGAATACGACTATGTTATCAATACTAATATTTTTTCGAAAACCCAAAATTTTTTTAAAATGATTTCACGAGTACTGTTTTATGTGTTCACAATTCCTCTAAATTAGTTCACATAATTATGGCAAATAAATATTCTTCACGCGTTACCAAATCATTCTTCTGCGAGCAATTCTGTGTTATACAAAAAAAAGTATTGGTAAAAAAAATATTGGCAATTGCCTTAATTTATTTATATTGACAAATAAATAAAATGTTATGCAATTTTAGCTGTCGTAATTAAATACAAGACATCTTAGGTCTATAAAAATAGTAAAAATTTTATTTTAATTTGCATTTTCTACGATTTTTCTTTCGAAAACGAAAATTTGCATGTCAAAAAAGTATTGGCAAAGTTTTAACTGCTATTCAAATTTTGTTAAATTGAAGTCACGTGTTTCGATTGATAAGAAACTCTACCGGTATAAAGTCTGCAAAACTACTCCAAAAGTGTCTATGCATTATTTTGAAAATACTGCAGTAAAATGACTTCGAAATCGAAGGACTTGGACGTTAGTGTTAAAAACACGATTATTAGGCTCAGAAATAAAGGTTTAACCAGCAGATGTCATACACTATCTGACCACATGTCCGATCACAGCACACCTCAGGACACTACAGAATACAACTCTTCTCCAAGACAAAGGAAAACAAGGGTACTTCACAGACTATTACGGCCAGAAAGAAGCCAGGAGGATTCTTCAATTTCTCACTACAAATTCACGGAGCGTCATCATAGAGACATCCGACTAAAAACTCAGTCCGATGCTTTGTAAAAGGCAGCACGCCTCATGTAAATATTGTACAAAGTCTACTAACTCATCTTAACTAATATTCAAGATATCTTTTGTAATTTCATAATAATCATAATTGTAAGTTGGTGCAAACCAACCAAAATGTAAATATATGTTAAATTGTGTAATGTAAATTAATTTTAAATAAAAGAGAGGTTGCTACGCAACGACCGGGATGATATGACTGACCTGTAGTGCCCAATGAGAGGCGTGGCAGGCTAAGGATAATTATTATTATTATTATCGTGCTATAGGAGTGCAGTTGAATATAAGTTTATTTACTGTCAGAAGTGTTGTAAAAAAGTTCAAGGAAACAGAACCAACTGAAAATAAGACTAGAAGTGGACGACCTCGAATATTTTCTACAAGACAAGAACGTGTCATTATTAACAAGGTTAAGAAAAACCCGAAAATAAGTGCACCCCCAGATGGCTAGAGATGTTGCTTTCACTTCACAAAAGACTTTCAGCGTACAGACTGTTCGAAATGTTTTGCACGAGAGAAGTTATTATGGAAGGGCAGCTAGAAAGAAACCATTCATCTCGGAAATAAATAGGAGAAAGAGGTTGGATTTCGCAAAATCCCACGTTGATTTATCTGAAGAGTTTTGGAACACAGTTATTTTTTCTGACGAATCAAAGTTTAACATTTTCGGCAGTGATGGACGACGATATGTGTGGAGGAGGCCAAATACTGAATTGGAAAAGCAACATTTAACTGCTACTGTAAAACATGGTGGAGGCAGCGTCTTAGTTTGGGGCTGTATGGCGGCTAATGGAGTTGGCAACCTGTATTTTATTGATGGTATTATATCACAGCAAGTACATACATTGACATTTTGCGCCATAACTTAAAAATCCGTGCCCAAAATCTTGGCTTGGGAACATCATTCGTTTTTCAACAAGACAATGACTCCAAGCATACAGCAAATCTCGCCCGTGAATGGCTACTCTACAGTGCTCCTCGCCAGTTAAAAACCCCACCTCAATCGTCTGACATCAATCCAATTGAAAATTTATGGCCTCTGCTAGATCTAGAAATAAGGAAACATTAAAATTTCAAGTAAAGACGACATGAAACGTTTACTCTTACAAGAGTGGCACAAAATTTCCAACAGCACAACAAAGACCTTAGTTTCCTCTATGGGAAATAGATTACAAGCTGTTATAGATGTAAAAGGTATGCATACAAAGTACTAAAAATATACCGATTTTGTTTTGCTCATAATTTTGTCAATTTCATAATTTTGCCAATACTTTTTTTATCATGTAAATTTTGGATTTTCTCGTAGATTTTGATTTAAAAAAATATTTAAATGAAAATTTTGTTATATTTGTTTGTCTTTTCTCCTTCTGTAATCGCTATGTTAAAATAAAATTTGTAAACATACTTTGTTAGCAAATATGATCATTTATAGGCAATTGCCAATACTATTTTATCCACTGTAGTACCGGCGTTCGAGGCGATAGTTGTGACATTTTTCAAGGTTAGCGGAGGCTTTGCAATCAGCCATCACTAACCACCATATCTTCGACTGGGGTTTTAGAATCATCAGTTTTTTGAAGTAGGAAGCGTGAAAAATGCGCCATGCTCTCGCCAAGACTCGTATCCTAAACCTCTCCAATACGCTACAAAATCCAATTACACCCCCACGAAGGCACATGGAAAGAAGAAGGAAAAATATCTTATATACTCCTCTTTTTAAAGGGTGATTTGGGGATTAAGGGACCCAATCGCCATATTCTGGTGGTGACGAATTATCGTCCACCACCTTTTTTTTTTTTAGTTCAGGCTCCACTTGTAGAGCCATTAGGCATTTTTGAAGCAGGAATCGTGAAGAATGTGCGTACGCCTCGAATACGCGTCGAGTATATTATATCCAATTACAGCAAGAAAGCATACGAAAAGGAGAGAGAAAATACCTTATAAAGTGAATTACGATTAGATTTTCATAATTTTTCCATATATAAAGTCGCTTTTAATTCTACACTTTACCATCCATTAAGCTATGTTCACCTGTCAGTACTTTGCTTAAGAGTTATTTTCTAATTGTCGGCGTGTTATAGCCGTGACGCAAGCGCATATTAAAATTCAACAGCTTTATTTGATCACTCCTATAGTAGGCTACAACTAAAGGCAGAATTTATAAAACTAAATTTTCAACCTGCTTTGAATGTACAAATATTAAATCAACTCCTTTAAAACAAGATGACTGGTTTTATCCTTAGCTAGTCACTATGGAAAAAGACACTTTTAACCATCTCCAGCGAACACGGGAATTGATGCATTCTTCGACGAACACTGAACTTTTTCCAAACAGATCGGTTCAATCACATACTTACAACAAGGCATATATTTCAGTTAAATTTCGTTAGATTTTGAACTTTCTTGTTTCTGCTCTAATTGCATGAACCTTTGACCTGAACTAAAACCTGCTGTACTTTTGAACAAGTTCACAACTTTTATAATATCATTAAGTACGGACTTTAATTCTGGAGGTAAATTATTAGAGACAAAAGCATGGATGAGGCAGTGTGCTGTCTGAATATCAATTTCCAGGCCGAAGTTCCTACTCCGGTGTTTCTGATTCTTCTTATAAATATAGCCATGTCATCAGTACATGAACTTAGGCAATTATTTTATGAATATACATAGACTTACGCATTGCATCAAAGCATTCTGAGATAACTTTAAAGATTCTTCTTCCCACTTGTTTGTTTCTGAAGTTCTTTGTAGGATAAATAATGCTTTTTCAACCCTTTCTCAACAGGAATTCGAACAGCCACTAATATCTGCTGATACATCAATGCTTGAGAAAAATATCCTAACTTCACACTGCACATTTAACACTGAACATTATATAACTGCACATTTTTCATGTCTCCTGCTTCAAAATATCCTAATGACTCTACAGTGGCGCTCGAGCTAAAAAGGTGGTGCATGATAATTCTTTTCCACCAGGCTTTGGTGACTGGGTCCCCTTATCCTAAATCGCTCTTTAAAAGAGGGATTATTATAAGGTATACTCTCCCTCCTTTCTGCATGCATTCGTGGTGTAACTCGTGCACCACACTCGTGCAACACTCGGTGCGTATTCGAGAGATCCAGCCTCGAGTCCCGGCGAGGGTATTGCACATATCTCATGTCTTCTGCTTCATAATATCTTAATGACCCTCTCTTCCTTATAAAAAGGATTAGATTTTATACTTTCAGAACTTGCCCATAATGCTTTTGAGAAACTTTGCTGCTAGAAGTCCATATCTATAGAATCAATATTTAAAGAAACAATTTATTTGATTATCGTTTAATAGTTATTTTTTGTTTGTTTGTTTGTTTGTTTCTTCTCAAGAGCAAAAACGAGAAGTGAGTTCTATTCTCTACTTTTGAATGTGTGCCATTGTTGTTACCTAAATGAACAGTTCATAAATACTTAGCTTACTTGTTAAATAAATTGTATGTATTTGAGGCAACACTTGTATCTTTTCAATCCTCCCGCAGATGGGACACACGCATTGGAGGTCTCATCATGAGTGAGAAGTATCTTCAAATAGCAAGTTACCTTCCATCCAAAAACATCTACGGACTGGGTGAACATGTCCATGAGACCTTCAGACACTCTTTAAACTATGTATCATGGCCTCTCTTTTCACGGGACCGCCCGCCAATGGGAGTAAGTGGCAAAAGCGTTTGACGATTTTAATTCTATATTAAGCTTTTGAAATTTTACAGTTTTTCAGTTGTTATCCTTGCAGGCTAAATATGTTATTTTTATTCCTCATAATCGTATAATTAGCCTTAAAGCATGTTTTTCTCACAATACCACGTGATCAATTGTATTGTACCGCTATTGCATTCTGTTACTAAGTTTGGTACGAATCCTGTACCATAATTGGTAGTAACCAATGTATCGACCTTTGTATATCTTAAACACAGTTGCATGCTAAATATATTTTGTATAACATATTCCTTTTTCCTAACTATTGTTGTACTATAGGGAATGAATGCGTACAGAGATCAAATTATATTGTACGCTACCTACTTCTTCTGTATCACATCACTACCTGCGGTATTGTAACATGACTTTGTCATAGCGAATATCTAGTTTATTACACTGACTTTCAATATGTTGCTTTGTCAAATATATGTACTTGGCTATGCAATGTATCCCGATCCAGTTGTTAGTCTTCTGAATTAAGTCGAATTCTGAATGCTTTACGCATTTCCCATGTATCAGTACTTCCAGTCACATACTGATGGCTATTGTATTCTTTTATTTTTATTTCTTTTGGTATATCCTCTGTGTATTGTATTGCTGTAATCATTTACATTCATTATGTCACTATGTTCTCTATTTTTATGTTATATTGTCATTAAGTCTAATTCTACTGTCTATATTTTACTCATTGTATATTATTGGGCTGCCCAACATCAGACTGTACTTTAGCTTATGTATTCTATATTTGTGTGTATTAAACACTTTGTAAATTTTTGCTTATTGTCAAAACTCGCCCTTTTTGGCCCTGCATGCTTTTGTTATTTTATTTAATAAATGTGGGGCCTGGGCGGTTGTTGGGACTGTCTTTCGTGGGCATTTGGTCTTTTGGACTGCCCCCGAGTTGAATTTGGCTCTGGGTTTGGGCGCCCGGTGCGTGGCGTCTTGTGATTCCTCTTTTAGGCTCTAGATATAGGTGGACGTGGTGCTATACCGATTAACCTTTTGGTAAAGGGACAGTGCCCACGTCCTCCGTCGCTTATCGCTTATACATCTCCAGAATATGGTCTTCACTAAAATTTAAACTCAGATGATTGTAATCAATTTTTTGAAGAATTAGTTGTATCAGTTTCATGCTGAATAATTATACACTAGATTTTTTTTTTTTAAATTTTCACTGTGTAAAGATTTAAGCTTAGTTAAGTTTTGAATCTAGAATCTCCCTTCCCGGTATAGTCAGGCTGTTGTTAATAATTCAATTATTAAAGACGACAGGCAACTTATTTCCCTATAAGGTTTTCTCCTAAAGTCTACTTGCCTGTTTAGCATTCATTGGGAGCTGCTGATATCATCGGTCGTTTTATCATCACGTTTCCTAAAATGTCCCCCAGGATGCATAACAACGGTACGCATCTATTAACCCGATAGGAGAGAGAGACTACACATAAAATCCAGTCTAAATCGGTCTAGAGTCTGTACTTAATTAAGCTTATGCTTAATTAATTAACGAGTAATGGTTAGTTAATGAAGCTTATGCTTAATTAAGCATATTAATTAAGTAGTAGAGCAAATGCTTAATTAATTAATAACTAAGCACAGTTCTAAAGTTGATGTTAATTAATTAATAATTAAACACAGTTGTAAAGTTGATGTTAATTAATGTTAATTAATAATTAAGCATAATATTGTTGTTGTTGTTGTGACTCCTCTCATTTGTGTCACAGTAACATCAAAATAAGTTCACGAAATTCATCGCGGCGAGAAATACAAGCCTGCCGTTGGCAACAGCCTTGAGCACCTAATGTAATAGGTGAGAGTATGACTTTGCTCAATTCCGCTCCCAGTTTCGATGGAGGACACCCCGGGGGGGGAATAATGAATTTTATTAATAATAATCGTGTTAATGTCGGAATTTTGATTTAACATGTGTTTAGTGTTTCTACGATAGAGCGTGGTCTGTGTCTTGTGTTTTGCCCTTTCCTTTTGTTTAGTTAGTTACTAACCATTGATTCTATTTATTTTAATTATTATTATTATTTCTTCTCACTTTCCTTTTGTGCCGTCAAGGTCCATTAGGTTATATCCTAATGGTCATATTTTATTATTTTATTTATTTCTTTATATGTGTATTTTTTTTACTCGAAGCCCCTTAATATTTTGCTGGTTTCCCGGAATTAATTTTATATTTAAAATTATTTCGATTTTTGAATTTTGATAACTTTTACTTGCTCTTTTTATTTTCTGTCTTTCAAAAGGGAACATGGCTGGGCCTGCTGGATGTCCTCGTTTGTGGTTTTTTATGGCGCCCCCCTGGAAAAGTCATAAAATCAAATCGATTAGGTGGATGGGGGACTGCGCCTCTTTCTGTACCCCGGAGGGGGTGACGAGCCCCGGACGGATGGGCGAAAGTCACCCCCCCTCTTCCCTAACACCGACCTCTCGAGAGGACATTCGGCTCGCCGCATATTTACAGTGCCTTCATGCTACGCAGACACTATGCATTTACAAACATCCATGCCTTCTCCGAGATTCGAACCAGCCCTTTCGGTGCGGCTGTCAGCGTCGCTAACCTCTATTCCGGTTGGGCGACATAATTAATTAGCCTATGCTTAATTACGTATTAATCGATCTTGCAAAGTCTCGACTTATTGTCATACCCTTTGGGTCGGATTACTTATGGATGTGATTCGAATGATGTACTCTTGACGACACGATTTGAGTTAACGTTGCTTGTTACTCAGTCCAATCGAATACGCCTCCTATTTTTGGCGTTTTAATTTGAAGCAACACTTGGAACTGAAGCAGAACAATAAAGGCCTCCAATCTTTCAATGTTTCATATTAAGTCGGTTGCTTTGGTTTATTTGATTATGCCAAAGTACTCGAAGGTTACCTGCCTCAATCATGGGGAAAACATGATAATTAAGTCGGAAACCAATGTAGAGATCTGAGCTCTGGGCTTAGGTCTGAAAAGAAGAGCTTCTTATTCTGCCAAGTCAGGTTGCCATTATGCCCCAAAATTTCCTAAAAACCGATTACCAGATTCAAGAAATTTTTTCTTAAGGGGACTCATACCCCTTAAAACCCATAAGATCTTCGAATATGTGACTGTTGCAAGAATTGGGATAACTTATTTATTTTAAAAGTAATTACTTCCAACGTTTTACAGCTGACTACATAATATAGCTGCTTTCTGAAATAGTAATCAGAAAGTTTGTGTTGCCACAAATATTTTTATAATTTAATAATCCGCTTTGGGGCAAAATTTTTCGTCATGTTTCCCCCTTGCGCGCACAGTTTAAAACATTCTGTTGCATAATTTAATTCCATATTTAAAATATAGCTTTTATAATATTTGGGAACTACTGTGAACCTAAAATTCTAAGGATTTCATGTTAAATTATTATTTTATTCGAAGTTGAATTTATAAAATGCATTTTATTAAAAAATATCTGTAATGTTTTCTTCATAAAATTTTTTAATAATAAAATAGTCATCAGATTTTTCAGTTAGAAAATAGTGCCCATATAAAGAATTCCATTAAATTTCAAGTATGTACTATTAGCGATTTTTAATATATCATGCGCGTAACATGACGAAAATTTTGTCACAAAGCGGATTAAATTACAAAAATATTTCTGGCAACACAAACTTTCTGGTGACTAGTTTCCAAAGCAGCTATAATATGTAGTCAGCTGTAAAAGGTTGAAAGAAATTGCTTTAAAATAAATAAAATATCCCAATTCTTGCAACAGTCACATATTCGAAGATCATAAGGGGTTTAAGGTGTATGAGCCCCCTTAAGGAAGTAGTTCAAACGACTGAACTTTGATCATGTGATCTGTATAACGTCTCTTTAGTTATGTGTTCTGATCATTTCGGAAATATTTCTTAATACTGCGCATTTCATAACTGTATATTAATTGTGCTTTTATTCGATACATGTATTTACACTTTGAATAATTTGCCCTGTAGGGTTTATATTTATTTTAACTAACATTTATTTTAAGTTTAAACTACCTTTCCTGTCAAGCCTTACTTTCCCCTGGAACTGCCAATGCCAGAGTATGTAAATTTTAGTAGAACGCGCAAGGATTCAAATTATCAGCGGAAGTATTCTGAGTTAAATAGAAAGGAAACGAGTTCAAGGTGTGCTGTTCTTACTTCACGAGCGCGGAGAGAGTTAGCCAGAAATTGAAGAACCCCGCGTTTCGGCCTGTGTGTTGCCTGGAAGAATTGTTAATCGTTTAAGTGATCTTCAAGTTTGCTGAATTAGCAGCGGTATTGTAAAACGCGGTGAGGTTAGTTACTTTTAGAGAGCCTCGTAGTTAGTCTTGTCTTTAGTTTCTTTCAGGTTATTATTTTTATTTGACCGCCGAGTTGGCGCAGTTTGTGAGCGTCAAGAGCACGCACTTGTAATTTATTACGTTGAATAAAAAGGGACTTAAACCCTTAACAAGACTCTGTCTTTTATCCAGTTTTCACAGTCACCTCTTGGTTGTGTGCAAGTTGGAGGCGCGCAACGCTACAGCCTATTCTGCCATTACTTTGGTTCATTAAAAATAATATATAGTATACCCGAAACAAGATATTTTTTCTGTCGAAGTTTTTCTGCTTTTATTCCTTTGTAACTCTGACATTTCTTTGCTAAAATCTAAGTATTCAAATTTTTCTATAGCTTTTTTTGAAATAAATGAAGTGAAAGAAAAATATATTTGGGCACTCGAAGTCATTTTAAAGTTAATCAAGAAATTTATTACGGGGAAATCTAATTAATTTGGTTTTATAATTTGCAGTTATTATAAAACTTAACAAGGTATTTTCTCTCTCCATCCAGTATACTTTTATAATGCAACGAGTCTTTCTCTGATTTCTACCTCCAGCGAAGATTCAGGTCTTCACAAAGTTTAATTGCTTCTACTAAGAATTGGATAAATTCAACAAAATGGCCTCAATTAAATGCCTGTGAAAGTATTATTATAATGATTTTCCTTTTCTTAGGGACAGAAAAATTTGTATGGTGTACATCCATTCTACACATGCTTGGAAAATGACGGCAAGAGTCATGGAGTTTTATTACTAAATAGTAACGCCATGGGTAAGCAACTATTTTTTTCAATTTGTTAAGTATTCGTGCGTGTCGTATTAAAATAGGAAACTGCTTTCTGTAATGGTATTGGCTGTTACAATTATGTTTACTACTCGCATTATTTTAAGAGTATAATCAGGTTTAGAAAAAAAAATAACATCACTTTGATTTTAATCCAGGTATTGTAAATCAAACTGCAAATACATCACCAGCAGTCTCTTTATACGTAATTTAGTACGTTATTTCAGTACGCCTTTCATTCTTCTTCGTGTCAATTTTGCATGAACAAAATGGTCGTTAAAATATAGCACTCAGTATCTTAAAGCAATTGAAAAGAATATCTATAATTTTATATACTAGTTCACTGTATCAATTTTGGATAGGTTTCTAGAATCCGTTTCCTTTATTATTATATAACTAGTAATACAGAAAGGAAATATACTGTCTTCGATGCGTAAATTAATAGTTAGAAATGCTGACTTAAAAATGTATAATACATGAGATTGTGTAAAGATGCACCATTTTGATAAAATATTTCTAATTTTTCTTACACCTTAACACATTCAAAGATAGTTATGCCTAGTTAAGACTAACGGTACTATTCGGTTTCGAGGGCCGTAAAAAATCGCCAAATTATCGTTGATGCCAATGCTGCCAAAAAGAATTGCGGCAACCCTAATAATTGCGGCAAGAAAGGAAGTATAATCGTAAATAACTATCTAAGATTGATGTTTTAATTTAGATGAAAGGTTAATTTCATATAATACTTTTTATTATTATAATTTATACGAAAAAGGCTAAACATGACTGAATGGAAGCATAAGAGTAAATAACTATTTCAAATCATTTTTATAATTTATATAAAAATTGATAAACATAACTGAATGGATACCTGCATCGCTATTTCGCTACCGACTTATCGCGGATTTTTGTCAATTTTCTTTTACTTTTTAAGTGAAAATAGGTCGATGTGTACATAGATAAAGTCAAGGGTGTGCGCAGTGCCATTTTTGTGCAATTCTAGGATTTTTTTAAAGTGAAAATAGGTCGATGTGCACATGGATATCGAGTATGTGCAATTCTTAAAAGCGCGTCAAGCAGTGGGTGATTCTGCACTTTACTTCAAATTCTATTGCCGACTTTTCGTCATGGGCAATTCCCAAATTGTTAAACCCATAGGATATCAAAAAATTTAAAATCCAAAAAGGATTTAAAAATTAAACTGGTATTTCAATGGCGTCTTAAGAAATATAAGTGATAAGTGACGGTGGACGTGGGCACTGTCCCTTTGCCGTAAAGATTAATCAGTACAGCACCACGTCCACCCTTATCTAAAGTTGGCTAGAGATTGCATATAGGTACATATAGAACATAATAATTATTCCTGTAATTACGCAAATGAACTTGGGAGAGCTTTCATGCAGGGCTAGTACATATGCACTACATGTGTGCAGAAGGCGGTTGCAACTAAATTACTTCAGTGCACGTATAAATAGTGCTGTGCATATACATATTTACATAATTATGACATTGCATGTCTTATATAGACACTATGCGATACGGCATTGACATTATATATGAGGTATGAGATAATAGTGGTATTACATTACCATTATTGACATTACATTTACGAATTACATTATGCAGATTCAACTCTGTAAATACATTGTCAGGAGCAACATTGCATATAGAACACATTTTATAACACTATATTTGCTCTTTGCTTTTATGTGATTGAGCTTCAGGATGGCGTACAGGCAGACCTGATATATAGACATTATAGGTGCTCAAGGCAGAGGTCCTGCTGTACCTGTGAGATTTTTGTACAGGCACATAGATACTTATTTATGACAGTGTTTGCATATAATGCGGTACTGTAAGTATTTTCTATATTATGTTACGTAATTCAATACAACATTGCATATGACTTTACATTACTATTCAGAAATGACGTTACACTTGCGTTACGTGGTATTACATTTACAGTTTGTGCAGCGTTACCGTTTGTGCAGCAGTGTTTTTATTATGTCCAACGTGACATTAGATTTTGATACATATTGAGCAATATAATTGCTCTGGCAGTTATGCAAATGAGGTTAGGATGTCTGACATGGCGGGGCATGTGAAGTATACATTTCTACTGTTCATAGGAGCATCTTGCTATGTCACTGCGGTATGCGCAGGACTGTACTGTACATATGCTTTTGCATACATATTCTAAGATATTGTCCTTTGACTGTTCAGTACATCCGATGCGACATTTACATTTAAATACACGTATTTAAAGCAGTTAGGTTGTGCAGCCACTTATGGGGATGGGCATTGGGTAGCATTACACTTGCAATTCAGGTCTAGGCAGAGCCTGAAGTCAGCTGGGTACTTTCTTTGTCTGACACGTCATCCATATTAATATTCACTGTTTAAATTATGGTTTTTCATTAATTTTGATCTGCTTGTTGTATACGTACGGGTATAATGTGGGCCTTGCACTAATTATTCGACTGCGCAAAGGTCAGTTCCGTGTCTGGCAAGTAAATTCATAATTTTAATGATCTGTCGACAAAGGTGCTTTTTTGCTTAATCATGAATTTACAGAAGGCCTGCGTATTGACAGTTGGAATACGTATGTGCAGTTCGCTGGTAAGTGGGCAGGTTGTGACATAATGCTCCGGAGTACCCAGGTGGCCACAACTGCACTGATCTGTGTCAGTCACGCCATGCCTGGCAAAGTACTCCGGGAAAGGCCCATGGCCCGTGATATAGCGCACCAAGTGCGTATTAGAACATAGCCGGGCAGGGTTTACGTACATTAGATGGTAGTGTGTACGCCTGCCTGTTTGTGCAGTGTCCCATTCTTCCTGCCACTTAGCGAGAGCCTGCAGATGGAGATGTCGTTTCAAAGAAGAGTGTGGCCATGGAATTTCCAATTCCTCTGCTTCTATTGTTGAGGGCTGCGTCTTTCGCGAGGAGGTCGGCTGCCTCGTTACAGGTGTTTCCTGCGTGGGCTTTCGTCCATGCATGCCAGGCGAACATGCAGATGCTCTGTCTGCCTTAGATGGTATTGAATTTCTTTGATAATTGTGGACGTGTGTGCCGGATTTTGGATGGCTTGTAGGGCTGACATGCTGTCGGAAACTATTGCTGCATTCCTGATGTTATGGTAAGCAATATGTTGTACTGCCTTTTGAATTGCCAGTGCCTCCCCTTGAAAGACGCTGTTGTTTTTGTTCAGATGGCCCTTCCATTGCGCGACCTGTTCTTGGCCTTGAAACATTACGTACGCACATCCGACGTTGTCATCCATTTTTGACCCATCAGTAAAGATACGGGTATTGTACCTGTTCATATCTTCAGGTCGCCCTTTGAGGTTGATTCGTACTCCTACGCTCTGCTGTGCTGGGTGAAACTCAAGTGGATTGGCTGGAATTTCATAATCTCTGGGCCAGTAAGTTTCTTCATATAAAGTGGCTGGTTGCCGCAGTTGCTTAACTTGTTGCAGGACTGCCTCCCTTTCGGCGCTGATGTGAAGTGGAACGAGACCTGCTAAAATGTTCAGTGCGCTAGTAGCTGTCGTGCGGTAGGCCCTCGTGATGTTTAACATAAATTGCCTTTGTATACTTGAAAGATGCCGCACTTTACGGCTTTGCATCGGCTGGGCCCATACAGCCGCCGCATACGTTACAATCTTTTCTGCAACTGTCTGATAGATGATCTTATGAATATGCGGATTGAGGCCCCAACTGTGACCCTGCATTAACCGCATGTTCTTAGCAATGGTCGCGGTACGTTTTTTGAGATCAATTACATGTGGGATCCAGTTCAATTTATTATCAAACAGTAGACCCAGATATTTTAATTGCTTAACTATTTTTATCCGCTGGCCATTGATGGTAATGCGAGGCTGTCTGACCAGCGTTCCTCCTTTTTTGGGGAAAAGCAGAATTTGTGACTTGCTTTCCGCTATTATTAATTTTATCTTCTGGCATCTTTCGCTGAACAGGGAGCAGGTCTGATTGCTGTTCGCTTGTAGTTCCTCTCTCGTTCGACCTTTTACTATAAAGGCCGCGTCGTCCGCGTAAGCTATAACCCTTGTATGCTCCGGCCACTGTGCAGAAAGAATACTGTTGAAAGTTAAGTTCCAGAGTTGGGGGCCCGCGCATGAGCCTTGTGGGCATCCGCGGGATTGCCTCCTCTGGAGTATACCTCCGTTGTGGACGACTATGACGCTTCGGTCTGACAGGTAGTGCTGGATTGTTCTGTACATGTTCGATGGGCATTTGGCTTCTGCATGCGTTTTACAACACAGATCCAGCCTATAAAAGATTCTTCTTCGCCAACCAGCGGTACTTAAAAACTCAAAAGTATTATGGGCAGCTGCAAGCATTAGGCCAGGACGTGTGATTCGCTTTTTAGATCGAGGCTGATAAACGCCGTGTGGTGACCGTTCCCTTGATTTTTATAAATTTCGTTTTTGATTTCTGCCAGTGCGTGAACCGTTGATGTACCGGTTCTGAAGCCATACTGATTAGGGCTTAAGTAATTAGTGAGGTGCAAGTGATGCCTCAGCCGATTCATAATGATCTTTTCGTACACCTTCCCCAACGCAGACAAGAGGCAGATGGGTCTGTACGAGTCTGGATTGGAGGGGTCTCTATTTTTCTTTAGAAAGAACACTGCTTGCCCTACTTTGAAACACCGCGGGAATGTACCCGTGTTATAAAGCCTGCTCAGGAGTGAAGTGAAGAATTCAATGTTTGCACTTAAGACGGCCTTGACGATGTTATAATTTACTCCGTCCGGCCCCGGAGCTTTTTTCTTGGGGAGGCAGCGTAGTATTTGTATCAATTCCTGTGCTGTGATATCTTTGTCATCTGGGATGGAAGTATCTATCTGTTGCCGTAGTCCTTTGTTGTTGTTGCTCAGCTGTATCTCCTGTCATATCATCCTGCGGGAACACTGCATCTAGTATCGCATTCAGTGTGCTGACCGTGGGGCTTTCATCTTCTGTC